ATAAAATGATAAAAATGCATATTCGCTATAAAATGGGTAGGTTTAGGTTTGGGGGTAGGTTAAGGGGTCTAAAAATCTAAATCGCTTATTGATAAAATGATAAAAATGCATTGATACGAATATCTTAATGATATAAAAGATACGTAAATATTTATACGTTTTTTTAGCTAAAAATACGTAGCTATTTGAATGTTTTAAACATTGAAATACGTCTAAATTGAACGTTTTAGCATTAATAAAAACGTACAAAAATGTACATTTTGTGCTTGTTAATGTTACGTATTAATACCTACATATAAACATGAGACCAGGCTGATTTAGCAGACGGTTTAATTCAGCAGTCTCCAAAGAGCAGTTAAATTAAATCACAGCGGCGCACTGAGAATCTGTCATTTCAGCTCACTTTTGAACCCAGGTTCATTAATCAAGTAGACATTGGAGATGATCAGACTAACTTTCCGGTTCATGATGGACCCCTACCTGGATTCTAAGTGGTACCTCTTAAATAAATCCCCTAGAAATGCCCAACCACAAGACTTCTATAAAAACCATGGTCCAAAATCATTAACTCTTACAGCTTGTTTGCCAAAACCCAATTCATGATTTTGTGCAGGAAAGCGCAATTAAAAATCAGTATGCCACAGCAGTATAAGTGTAGTAAGTGAGACTCACGTCACCAATGACGTTGTGATTTTTGGGTCACACGTCACTCCAGGTGCGGTTATGAGTATATCAGATCAATTCCCAACTCGCTTAGTTCAGTGCATCAGTCTAGGACTGTTAATTTGGCACTATGGGAGTGCTTCCCACAAGCTGTTCAACAATTTGAGATTCACAAACTGGAGGGAGTTGGTCAACTGATTTATCTGAAAGATTGGTGGTTTAGATAGCTAGTAGAGACTTGGATCATCAACACGAAGAAGACACAATTGTAATAAGATTAATGAAATGTATTAACAATAGATATGCAAGAGTAAATACAACAACTAGTGATGATGATACCAATAAATGACTAGGCACTGCTAATAGATAATAGACAACTAAATATGAAAGAAGATACCAAATAAATTGTAGAAACAAATAAATGGAGTGAACACAGAATGGCAAAATGCAATGCTGTTGAGCTGAATGTAGCAATGGAAGATAATTCTATGGTAATGTTGCTTATGGAAACCACTTAATGGCTCTGGTGGAATTAATGATAAATAACTGCTTATTTATCTCTGAACAAATAATATAACTATTATTTGTAATGCTGACCCCAAGTAAATGTTATCTAAACAGGTTAGAAAAGCATAGGCTGCAGGTATAAACTAAGCCAAGGTCTTTAGGAAAGAGGTTTGGTAAGTTTATATTTACGTTTCACGGTCGGGTGATCAATCCAGTGGTAGAGACGTCTTCCATAGGTAATGCGTGCAGTGGGGACGGCACAGAGTTGCGTAGCTGTCGATGCGCTGACCTGGAGGATGCTGAACTTCTGTTGTGTACTCAGGAGCTGAGTTGAACCTTAGCTGTCTTGAAATCTCTTTTCTCGTCAGGCCAGAAACTCAGAACGCTGTATCTGCTACTGTCTCTCTGGATGTACCGGAGACTCAGAACAGTGTATCTGTTATTGCCTCCTTCCACACAGCTTGGAAACACAGAACAAGGAGTGTCTTTTGGGAAGGTACTTTATCTCCTTCTGATGAGGAGGAGACTGGAATCTGGCACCTCTCCATTCCAGAAATGTGATTGGCCTCTTGTGTCCGAGGTGGCCATGGTGTTGCCCGCCCTAGTGTGGAACTCATTTGCATATAGTGGAGTAAAAAGTTAAACAGTGTTTTTAACATTTTACCCATGCAGTATTTCTTTAGCAAACCTCTTTCAAATTATTACCAACCTCATGGGGAGCAAAAAGAGTCCAAACATGATAGGAAACTGTTGAACTATCACTTGTTCATACCATAATATGTTAATAGGCCTGCTATTGGAATGCCAATTTTACTGTTGTTCACTACATAAGAGAGAGATATGATCGTGAGAGATGAAGCGATATGAAGTTCCTTTAAAATGATAAACAGGTTAAAAATAATAATTATAGATAGTTTGTGTATTTATAATGCAGATAAAGCTGTGTTTCCAGCATCTGCATAGTTTGTGTATGTGAATGTTTATGTTTTATGAAGCATTGATCATAGAGATTCTTCTATTTTGTGTTAGTGCTCTGCTAATGTTTTTGTAGCCATATGCTGCTCCTTATGCTTTCGAATGGATCACTGAATTTTTGGAGTGACTGGAGAATAATGATGAAAGTGTATCTTGCTTCAAAACACAGAGAAAATGACAAAAAATGTAATGTCAAGAGATGTTTTTGTGGCTGCTAATGGAAGGCAATGGATGGTTTCTGAAATAACAAGTAAATGAGAGCTCCATTAGGCTTATTTGTGAGGCCTTTGTATCATTTTATGCCTGAACTGTTTGACCAAAGTGACCTAGTTTATCACCCCTTAATTGACTCTCTTTTTCTTCCTGTTTCCCCAGAAACCTGTTAGATCGGGACACGTTCTCCAAGTCTGATCCTTGTAAGTACTTCTCTTTTTTTCCTAGCTGAAGCACTTGTTTTTTTAACCTAAAATCATTTTAAAATCTCTTTTTTTTTACACACATTGAAAAACTCAGTCTCCAGGCTTCGTACCCCACTGACACGTTGTTCTCAGGTTCGGTCTCTTCCACACACCTCTTCGACTTTCTTCTGCTTTCCACAGTTTGCCTGCAAATTGTCTACTCTGCTATTTCTCCAAGTTGCCTAAAACACATGCATAGAATTTGCATCACAATGTGACAGCTTTTCTTTACTATCAACAGAAATGCAGAAGTGCTTAATATATGCAGAGCATGAGCTCAGCCACCTGAATACAAATGCTTCACGAGTCATGGGGACATTTAGACCTGTGTACAGTAAATCTCTTGCTGAAGACATGAGATTATGAAATAGAGAGCAGTGGGTCAAATAGTCTGGCCACCTTTGCGATTCTAATCGTTGCAAGAAGAACATTTATTGCTTAGACGTTGCTCTTTCATCAAGGAAACGTAATGTTTAACATTATTAGAGTATTAGAATTCTGTTAATCTTCATTTAACCCTCATTCTCCAAAATGTTGTATTTGTAAAACTAATAACTTTGAAGTTAACCTTTTTATTTTCCTTTCAAATGTTTTTGTATTGACCCAATAAAAACCTAGTAGGTAGATATTGGCTCTTTACCCTTATGTTGAATCCCAAAACAAGTGTGAACTTTTGGCTCCTCAAATACTCACAGTGAATTTCTTTTCCATTATTCATTTAGGGGTAAAATGAAGTTTGATATATGCAAGCCATGCTTTACTGTTAGCAAACATCCTGATGCTGCCCACACTGCTGAGTGTGCTGTTTAGATAAATATGTGCTGCATTTCCCTCTCAGTAACAAAACTAACACAACAAAAATTACAGCGGTGAGAAAACAGCAGTTAAGAAAGCATCTTATCATAATGATGTAAATGCTTGCACGAGCTCTGCAATTTGGCACTCCAGTAAAGTACAGTCAAGTATTTTTTTCAATTGCACTATTTTACAAGCAGTTTTACAGTACTAAAGTGTCAGTATCGCTTTCAATTAGAATTACTAAGCAGCACCTCAATTTGAAGCTAGGTAATGTTAAATCTTTTTATTGGTGAATGCAAGGTATTCAAAATTAGTTTTTTTAGAGTTAATGTTTTTTTTTAAAGATAATGTTGTGAATAAAATAGTTCACCTAAAAATAAATAGTGTTATCACTTTTTTTGTTCCATATCCACGTCTTACAAAAGGAGATGTTGGGCAAAATGATGTGTCAGTCAGTTAATTTTTCACACAGTTAATTAAATGGTGAATGAGAATATCTCTCTGTCTATCATTCCATTTTGTGTGCCACATTTATTTATTTATTTTGTAAAAAAAAAAAAGTGTTATTGTATAATAGTAATGTAATTGTTTGTAATTAATATTACTTAATAAATCAAAGCCTACTGATTAATCAGTGAAATCATTAATGGTTAGTCGATTAATTCTAATAATCAATAGATTATTAATGATCAAAATAATCATTTGTTACAGCCCTACATTATATAAAATAATTTATAAATATTGTATAAGGCAAATAATTTGGCTTGTGATTTCTTCCAAAATTCTATACACAAATTATAGAAAATTATAAAGTCTATTTCACAGGAGAAAAATCTAAGCAGGAAACTCAATTTATTCTCTGTTTCATTTCATTATTGTCTATAAGAAAACTTGAGACATTAACAAAAGGCCTCGTTTGTGACGTTTCTTTTCTGTGGGCTACTAAGCTTCTCATTGTTCAGCTGTTCTTCAGAGATGCATCTACAGTAACTGTAACATAAAAGCTTTTTCTTAAAAGTGAAATAGATGCTGATTTCTCTCTCTCTCTCATCTTCTCAGTGTGTGTTCTGTACACTCAGGGAGTGGAGTCTAAGCAGTGGCGTGAGGTAAGTGTCCACGTTCAGGAACAAACCTACAATCAGCTCTGACAGAGACTCCCTCATTTGCCCTAATCATCTCTGCATATCCTCTCTATATCGCCGCCCCCTTCAGTCTCTCCGCAGCCCTCTGGTGCGCATCACTGCCCATTGATTCTCCTGTTGAATATTCATGAATCTGCCCTAATGGCAGTGATTGACTGTTAAGATGATTGTACACTTTCCGTTAGCGATTAGCATTAAACTCGATCTGGCTCTAAAGTTACAGGCCAATGCATTTGTAATGCTTCCCAGCTCACTAAACGTGATTTTTCACACTTAAATTGCGTTGAGCTGGAGGACCCGGCCCTTGGATTTGGCAGGTCATTGCAATCAGCTGAAAATCGGACATCCTCAGGCTATCATATCCATCACTGAGCTAGCAAAAAGACCTTGAGTATGAAAAATTGCTTTGCGGTTCTCTTTTGCAAGTCTTGGTTTGTGTTTCAGACCCTTTTAATTGAATCCCCTATTAGCAGGTGACAGTTGTTATAGCAGGTGTTCTCAAGGCTGATGTGAATGCGTCAAAGCGGTCGTAAAAGTCAGGGTGTGCGCATGAGGAGCTGTAACAACTTTTTGACCCAAAATAAAACTGGTACCGGTGTCGATTTTCCTTCTTCACAGACGGTTTTGATGGAACACCTTTCTCCTACGATGAAAGACGACGGCTTATACATAACACTGAGCAGGTTGCTAACGCTGATTAGCTGCGTAGACTCTTTCTCCATGCCTCTGCCCGTGCAAGATGCCTCTTGTTTGGGTATAATGCCAACCACTGTGGAAAAGAGGCAGTCAAGCTGTAAGGGATTGATAAGGATGGAGTTTTCTTTGTGCGTTTTTCCTGTCTCAGCAGGAGATTTGGGAGTATGTGTGTCTGTCTCTTTATTACTAACACAGCATAAGCGCCTTACTTTGACAGAGGGATTGTGTCCATGGTTCGGCTACTGTATCTCATATTCTTGTTTTCTTATATTTTTTTCTGTATTTAATTGTTTACATATTAATAAGCAACTAACTACTGAATTTTATTTATTAAAGTGATCTTACCATGGATAATAGTATTGTCTTGAATGTATAGTAAAATTGCTGTAACACAGTCTAGAGTAGCCTAATACTTTGAACTAAATTGTATTTTTTGGTAGTTAAGGTATAGTTCTTTCGATAAATAGTTCAGCAAAAATAAAATAATAATAATAATTTAACCATTTGTCGTTCCAAAAAAGCTGTATGACTTGCTTTCTTCTGTGAAAAATAAAAGAGAACATTTTGAGAAATGTCTCGGTGTTTTTTCTCTATACAGTGTCAGTAAATAGTAGCCAAAATTGTCTGGTTACCAACATTATTCCAAATCTCTTTTTTATGCTGAAAAGAAGAAATAAATTCATTCAGGTTTGGAACAACATGAGGATGAGTAAATGTTGACTTTTATGAAGCTGAAAATGGTGTTAAACATGAATGATATGCTTGAACTACCACGCTCTCAGTTTCCTGCTTCCCATATATGAGCTGCCTATGATTGCACAAACTGATGGGCAGGCGGAAAATGCATCAATGTGTTTTTCTTGGCTAGACAAAAAAATTCAACTAATAAGGGATAGTGTCATTCCAATCAAAAAATCATGTACAATACCTTTAAGATAGTTGAACATGATTTGCAGTTGTAAATATTTCAAATCTAAAGACCTATTCACACCAAGAACAATAACTTTAATGATGGTGTAATTGATAACACTTATTTTAAACGCGCTCTGCAGTAATGTTGCCTGCCTCATTAAATGCTCAAGCTCTTTAAAGTTGGATGGATTCTGATTCACTATCAATGTTTTTATCAGGCATTAGCTGAAAAAAATAAATTTTTGAAAGTGATTTCAACAATATCACTCCGTTTTTTTTGTGTCGATATTGTTATTGCTGTGCCAAGCGGACTTCCCAATTCTTATGGAATTAGAACAAATATTAAAATGTTATAATCATAGTTATCTTCCTTAGTCTGGATGCTAGCATAGTTATCCTTGGTGTGAATGGGCCTTAAAATAAAATCTAAAGCTCTTCATGAAAAACTTGTAGAAATCCCTAATATCTTATCTGTGACTTGAGAACATGAGATTTCTTTCCCTTGTAATATTATTGACTATTGGGTGTCAGAACACATGATAATCATTTTCATGATCTTAGATCTTGAAGGGTTTTTAATCGCAGTTTCAATTCAAGTAATTTTTATCAAAGTCATTGATTAGTTTATCCTACTTTGCATAATATCATATATTGCATAATAAAGTTTTTCTGTTCTGTGCATCATAATTGGCTTAAACTTTATTTATGTACCTGTTGTGATTTCACACTCTCGTCTCAGCATTGCATTTACAAATGTTAGCTGCCCCAAATCAGACAATGTTGTGTTTTATCTTTCTCTTCTTTTCTGAATGTGACCTTGTGTTAATGCTCCTGTAGAGTTTGTTTTGCACAGTAGTGGTCTGAACAACAGGTTTCACCTCTTTTTCACTGTGCCTTGACTGCCTCTTTAACACTCAGTGGGAGGTAAAGCTTTTTCAAAAGCAGTTTGGAGATTTAAGTTGAATGTTTTTCTTTGCATCTCCTCTATCCGATGGGATTTCTGTCCAAAGGCAGTTTTGACAAAAAGGTTGAAAACCAGTGCAATACTTGCAGAATAATGCGCCATATGAAAAACCGTAAAAGGCTTTATGTGCAGCAGAAGGTTAATAGAATGATTTATAGCAGATGTAAAGTCTGACTGTGAGGTTGTATTAGCAGTGCATAAAGCATTATGTTATGAATCCTAATGACTATCACAGAGCTTTGCTTGAGAATGTTCAGTCATTCCTAGCCTGTGCAATTATCAATGTTTATGGCCTTGAAATATAAATTCATCCTAATTTTTACAGATTTAAGTGTGTTATTTGTGGTTCAGGCTACGTGATTTGGAAATTGTCTTTTAATATGAAAGTTTATGCATCTCTAAACTACTGCAGAGAACATCAGACATGCCTCAGGCTGTAAGCATATATTACACTGAATGTTTGTGAGATAGTCAGTCTGTGATGTCTGCTTTTATCATTAACAAGAGCACTGTGGGATGGTCTTTACTGTATGTTTAAATCACCTTATCATTCCCGTATCCCTCATAAGCCATCTCCTTCATTTCTGCAATGCCAGAGTGTTGTAACACCCTTCTGGTGATTCATTTATTTATGCATTTCTCATCTGCCTCATCTTGTTTAATTATTCATGGGAAACACAATTAGCTGAGGGAGCTGCAGAGCATCCTTCAAGAATACAGTGAAAGACGACAGGCATCTCTTCTCTTCTCTTCTCTTCTCTTCTCTTCTCTTCTCTTCTCCTTTTTCATAAACACATTACTCTCACTTCCTTCCTGCATTCCTTCTTTTCTTTCTTCTTGTTTTCTTTTCCTTCTTCATTTTCCTTTCCATTGGCAGAATATTCTAAAATGTTCACCCACCCTCTGTAATTCCAAACTCTGATTTACATTTCTTACATAAAACCAGCAAGGCAGACATCGTTACAGAGACAGTAGAAGACAAAGAGGAGCTTTTATCATTAGTGGATCGAAGGCCTTTTGCATTTTCAGAGGATGTTACACAAGGAATGTATTGAAATGTCAATGTTTATGGTTGCACAGTAATTCAGATATAGCATAGAGAGCTGGAGCCAAAGTGTTATTTGTACATTAACATTGAAATCACAGTTGTTTACAGTACTGCATGTTTTGTGGTAGATGAATAGACTGTCATTAAAGTGGCATCCCAAGCATGAGCTCAAAACTCATGAATATTCTTGATTATTTATTACTTCATTTGCATGCAAACACTCACACACACCTTTGTGCCACACATATGTACACATTACTGATTCTGAGCAGGGGTTTCTGTTCATCAGTAGAAGAGATACTTCACCTTTCAAAAAAATCACCTCTTGCTGTCCTAGTTTTTCCTAAGGCTGCAGAGTCACAGGAACAGGGCAGTTAATGGACTGAACAGAGATGTAGATTTGTCTGTGGCTGCACGGTGTCAACTTTTTCATTCCCATGCAGTTGTTCTCTCTTTTTTTGTGTAGTTTGGGAGAACTGAAGTCATCGACAACACCCTGAACCCAGACTTTGTGAGAAAGTACATCCTGGACTATTTCTTCGAGGAGAAGCAGAATCTGCGCTTTGACATGTGAGTTATTCCCTTTGATGCTGACACACAGGAATCTGCCTCGCTCTCCGATGAGCTGTCCCACTCCGGTCTTTCTGCTCTCGCTCCGTTTGTCCCCCTCTCTCCCAGTGCGTCCTCCTTGGTAATTATTGATGCTGCATCTCTCTTGACTGTCATGTTTAAGGGGCTGGATCAGTGAAAGGGTGATAAATATTTCAGATGAGTTTTATCCTCAATCTTCACGCAGCCGTTCAAACGCAAATGTGTGACGCGGGATCCGGGATGATTTACAACGTGTTCTTCCCTTCCTGTGCCTGACTGTCCATCTCGCTCTCATTCACCACCTTAAATGGGCTCTGCTGAGTTGAAAAAGACCTGCTGCACTGCAGGCTGGACTTAATTGGAGAGTTCAGAATGCTGTCAGTGAGAAACCTTCCACGATTATGCGAATTCCTTCTTATACCAATGCAAATATTCACAGAGCCAACCAGCTGTGCCCCAGAGCAGCACTTCCACTCAAAATTGAACAGCATCAAGAATTTAAATGCACACTAAGGGGGATCTGATTTAAAGGGAAATGTAAAATTTTTTCTCTAGCGAAATGAAATTTAAAAAATCTCGTATTATTTGGACAGAATTATGGCAACAACTAGATGGAAATCCAAGTTTTGATTGTTAAAGTCACAATGCATCTGAAGGAGTGACAGATCTTTTCTTCTGTTATTGTGCTGTACATCCGAGAGTAACATATTTTCATTATGACATTTATGACATTTTGATTAAATATTACGAGGTCATAAAAAAAAAAAAAAAGAAACATGCACAGATAAATTGTTCTCAATATCTATGACATGGATTTAGAAAATAGATGTGAATAGGCAGAATTTTCATTTCATGCTGACTTAAAGAAATGTTCTCTACAAGAAATCAAAATATTAGCTTTATGGATGATTTAGCTCATAGGAATTCCAGATCAAATAATGTGAGGATGGTTGAGCAAATTGAGCTGTTATCCAAGAGAAAATGGGACATGCCATCATATAACAATACCAACTGAAGCTGTTTTGTTGGATTTCAGATATGACATTGACTCCAAAAGTCCTGATCTGGCCAAACACGTGAGTGTATAGAAGCACTTTGTATTAGATTTTTGTGTATATATGTGCATGTGTGTTTGCTTGGATGTATATGAAAGTTCTTTGTGTTCATTGGCAATTGCACTCACATTTTGACATGCATGCTCTTCATTCTTCGCTTGGTTTTATGCAATCTGAAATGACTGAAAAAGGACATTTTGTATCATTATCAAAGCTGTGCAAAACTGAAGAAGTGAAGTTAAACTCTCTCTTTGACTTCTGATGGTTCTGAATGTATCCTGCAGTGTGCTTGAATATCTTGGGAAATACAGACAATTTGTTTCCTATTAAACTGATGAAAGGCAAGCTAAAAATATAGAGTTTTCACTAAACACTTGCACCACATTTTTCAGATTAAAAACAGTCATTGTCTTTCTTTGTATGCAAATTAGACTTCATCAGATTAGACTTTTGCTTGGTGCAATTAATGAAATATATCAAATATATAAATGAAATAATTATATACAGAAATTATTATTCTTGTTCTTACAGTACAGTGGGTACGGAAAGTATTCAGACCCCCTTAAATTTTTCTTTTTCTGTCAATATGGGGTGCTGTGTGTAATGAGGAAAAAAAATTAACTTAAATGATTTGAGCAAATGGCTGCAATATAACAAAGAGTGAAAAATTTAAGGGGGTCTGAATACTTTCCGTACCCACTGTATATAAAAGTTATATAAGTGTTATAAAATAATAGGTTGCATCATTACTTGATTTGCATAATTATATTCAATAAAACGGGTACCAAAACTACACAGACAGTGTGAAAATAAACAACTCTCAGTAGGGGCAAATTATGAATTATGATTTTGTATAGAACCACCCGAATGTTTTGTGTGTGTGTGTCTGTTCATTTTCACTTTTCAGTGAAATTCAGATTTATGATTTGGTTTTCTTGCTTTCTTTTGTAATCAGTGATCATCGTGGGTGTTTTTCCCTTTCTCTCTTCTCCAAGATCCTTTCTCCCTATTCTCTAACTCTCGTTTTTTCTCTTCTATCCTCTTCGGCCTGACTTCTTCAATTCGTTTGTATTTTATTTATTTTTTTGTCTTTTTGGTTACATGATATGCTCTGTTGTTATTGTTATATTTGCGGCCTCACCTCCCTACTGGAAGCCCTCCGATTTCAACGTACGTCTCTGCCTTGCATTCCTAGACTTTTCTCTTTACCTCTACAACCCATTTATACCCAGAACCACCCTGACTCATTCTACTCTCTCTTTTTACTTCCTATGTTCCTATCCCGCCTTCTGTGGGCCTTCTTTTGTTCGGGCCACCCTTCTGTAGGACTTCCTGGGTCAGACCTTCTGCACTCTGGGTGAGATAGTGGGTTCACCAGGCAGTCGTCTGGAAAAGCCTCTGGGGTAAGAAGCTAATGCACTGTTCTATGAGCCAGGCTTACATACTCAATCAGATTGGGATGTATTCAAAGTTAGAAAAGCTGTATGGGCTCAGCAACTGTGCCTGAAGCCATCTCAGATAGATTACTGGCCATAGGAAACAGAAAAATGACTTTCTGTGCAGCTGTTCTTAAGTAGATCACCTTCATTGCCTAAATGGGGAATTACATTTTATGCAGCACATTGGTGCATATTGATGTTTTTGGGGCACTAAGACGTTCTTTTGACCCATCGTTTTGACTTATTTTGTACCGTTTTAGTGTGTCAGCCCCTTTTCACTCAGCACTCCAGTAAATGTTTTAGTTTATTTAGTGCTGAGCTACAGTGTGTGTGCAACCAGTGCCAAAGCTTGTTTGACTAATGAGTCATCTTTTGCTAATTAGGTCATAAACATGTAATAGATTTTTTTCTTAATTAACTTTATAGCTGTATGAAGCACACAGGCCTTGTATATTTAACCTTGGCCAAAAAGCTATCATGCACTTTAGTTGATCAGTTGAACCCGTCTTTCAGTTCAGATCTCGCTGAAATGAGCCTGGTGTTCTGCTGTCGTTTAGAGCGTTATAGCTGTGGAATGATGATGGATACTCCCATCTATCCCTCACCATCTGTGTCTTATGTCAGTGTAGCAGATTAGGCTTGTCGGTGCAGATTGCAAGCATTAATAGCACAACCAGAGACTTCCATTCGGCATTTATTGCTAAAGTATCCATCATGCAACCCTAGAGATGGAGGTTTCTTTAACTACTGGCCATGGTATTTCTTAACATAATCTCTTTAACTTTTAAAAACACTTGTGTATTTAATTGATCCCCATCAGTGTCATACAGTGAAAACACTTGCATCTAATTTCATGGCTAGATATAAATATACCCTAAATATGTCCAATTAAATGATATTTTTACACTTCTTGCATAATTTGACAATACCAGATCGATTCAGAAATGATTTTTACTGTGTTTTTTCATTATTGTCTCATATTTCACCTGAAACAAGCACTTAACTGAGATAGTTGTAAAGTAAACTACAATTTTATCTTTTTTATTATTATTTGTTGGCTGTGATGGAAAGGATGCCACAGCTGAGAGACAGTTGTAATTTGTGTAAAAATGGCAAAAAGAAGCATTTTTAGTTTGATTATTTAATACTGTGTATTTTGTGTAATTATCATAGTTACTTACATTTCTTATTTTTAATTAAAATCCACCAATAAAGTACTTCTAGTTGAAGAAACAAACTTGTTTAGTCTACATTAAAGAGACATTTTCCCTCCATGAGCTGGAACTGTTTTAAATTGGTGCTGCTTGGACACAGTGCTAAGAGAATACAAAAGAGCTGAAGTTTAGGAGGGAGATGTAATGATTGCAGGGTTTAGTTAGCCTGTATATACAGTACACAACTGAGTGAGTGCTAGGGGTGGAGCAGACCCTATTGATCAACCTCAAACACCCACTCAATCTCATACTGCACTGTGGCGTATGAATTGCTTTCATTTATGGGCATTATCTGTGCAGAAAGGAGGGTGTGATTGGAGGTATTTGCTTGTGGAGAGGAGATCGGCCAATAATGATGAAAATCTGTGGGAGTTTAAAAGCTTTAGGGGTGAATTTGAACCCCTGATCTCTGTACAGTTTCCCCAGCTTGTGTTAAACTAGATGGAGACAGACAAAGAAGGGTGAGGGCTGGAACACAGAGAGGCTGCTTTCACACAGCAGCAGAAAACGCTTGTCAGTCTTGTTTTAGAGAGCTAAATATGGTTGTGTTTGCACAGAATTCAGTTAGTTGTCAGAGTAACAGCTAGTTTCTACGATGAAGTCTTAAATTTTGACAGCAGGTTTGTTGGATAGAATGAACGGTACTGCAGTCACTGTTTTCTGCAGTGTCACTGACATACAATGCTGTGCAAGTGTAGAAGTTTCACGAAAAATATTTATTTTCTTCTGATAAGTTTCACTAAGTCAGTAGAAAACCTGAATTTTTAGTGTACCAAATGTTCCTTTTGCAACTTCCTTGTATAAAACCAGTGAAAGGCATAGGGTCTCGCACCAAATATGGATTTGATTAGTTCATAGCAACTTAATAGAAATGAAAAAAAAATAATAATGGCATTATTTCATAAGTGGCTACACTTTTGCACAGTATTGTACATATGACATGAGGCACACACACTGTATATTGCTCTGGATCTGATAATGTTAGATAATGATAATGTTAATAAAAAATAAATGAGTAATGCAAAATCTAAAGTTATCTTTCGCTGTGGTTGTAGGCATTATTCCAGGCTTTCTCAAGATTATTGTTCTCCTAAATAATATTCGAAATTAGAATTAGTGTATCCCAAATAATGTTGAAATGAATATCCCTGAAATACCCAGATGGTTTACTGTTTTTGGCGAAGTGCAGATAGCTTCAGATTCGAAGTGCAGATAGCTCTAATGGCTAATATTGCACACAACCCAGTGTACTTTGGAAAATTGGACTATTCGGTTCAGAACTACAAACACAAGCAGAAAAACATCAAACAGGGCAGATGTGTAAGACCAATGATTGAGAGAGAGTTTTAGGTGAAGTGAATTGAGTGATTAATAGTATCTAACTTGACGAAAAATAATTATTTAATGGGATCCATGTTATTCCATATCCATGTTGTATTATCTGCAAAAATATTGTGAACTTTTATAAAGATACACAAAGAAAGATCATGTGACTGGAGTAATGATGCTAAAACTTCAGCTTTGAAATCACAGGAATAAATTACATTTTTAAATATATTGGGCTGAAGCAGGTATTTTAAATATAAAAATATTTCAAACTTTTACTGTTTTTGCTAGGGATGCACCGCTCTCGCTCTCTCTCTCTGTCTCTCTTTCTCTCTCTCTCTCCCTACCGTTAAGTAACTTGTGCATTGTTTTACTTACTTGTTTTTGACATATCCGACCGAACTACAAACTTTCCAGTGATGTCTGTGAGAAAGATATATTCACTCGACAAGCTCGCGCATCTGCGCCGCCGCGCGCTCAATCCACTCAGCGTGCTTTGTTAATCAGCTCGCGCACATCTGTTAATACTGAATGTTTTATATTATATTCATTGCATACATATACTTCGTAGTAGACATCCTTAACTCCTTTCTGCTGTCTGTTGTTCTGTTGTCGGTGTTTCTTTGTTTGAATATGGCGCTTATCACATGCTGTGTGGTATCGGCGTTTGGTATCGGGGCATTTTAACGAGTACGAGTACGAGTACAGGAGACCAGTATCGGGCCCGATACCGATACCAGTATCGGTATCAGTGCATCCCTAGTTTTGGCTGTATTTTGGATCAAATAAATGCAGGCTTGGTGAACAGAAAAGACTTCTTTAAAAAACATTAAAAATCTTACTATTCAAAAAAGTTTTGACTGGTAGTGTATGCTGGGCCATTAACTTTCAAGTGCATTATTTTGCAAAAACATGAGGAAAGTTCTTTGCGTGTAGGCCCCCCAGCTGGCAGATCAACATGCTGCTATTTTCTATCCGGTAAGAATAGTTGACTGTAAATTAAATGAACTGAAATGTGGAGTGTGTATAAGAGGATATTAACTGTAATAAGTTGATTGACAGGCCATGTAACTATGCAACAGAGTGGTATATTACACTTTCTTTAATGGCTTAAGTATAAGTAGGTGAACTGGGATGCAGCACTCGACTGGTTTAATTTATGTGAATAGAGAACATAAGGAAGGAGAGAGCAACTGAAGCAAAGACACTTTGTACTTTGTGTGCAACTAAGGAATCAAAAAAATACCAAAATTGTGTAAAATGCTTGAGTGCAGGATGACCTGCTTTTGAACAGCTTGTCGTCTGTATTACACACACACAAACTCTCTAATATCGTCCTCTTTCCACACCTCAATAATTCCCCATAGCCACAGAGCAGTCTTTGGGTATCTATTGCAGGAAATAGACTATAGCTTTCCCTCCATCCGTCCTGTACAACTGATATAGATGCAGTCATCTCTTGAAATGTATCCCTCCGTTGTGTTGAAATAAGTAAATCAGAGACTACACACTTGGCAGCTGAATACAGAGAATTGTATGTTTGGCAATAAACAGGGTGTAAGGAAAATTTAGCCGCAGGCTGAACTGCTTTAAAACACACTGCAAAACTAGTCTTATTGGATTTGAATTTCAGCAGTGTTAATTCATCATCTCCCCTTCACTGGCTGTGTGCCGAAAGAACACAAAGCATTGCCCAGCATTTGATTCCATTACAGTTTTCTACTGTTCATATAGGGGATATAGGAAAGGAAGTAACATAAGCCTTATTGAATACAGTACATTTGGCCCATCTGTGCCTTAAAAGCTGTGCCTTTAGTGATGCTGGTTTAATCGGATTGACCCCACTGTAAGGCAATTTAGCTTATTAGTTATTTACAACAATGTACTGTATATATAAAATTGTTATTTATTTGCATTCAATAAGAAAAAAAGTCAGCTTATTTTGCATTTACATTGTATGGTAAAGGGCAGCTTTGACGTTTGGTTCTTTGTGCCCCACTCAGTTTGAATGGTCATGATGCTTCTGGCCCGTGGCATTAGGTTATTATGTCATACTGATGGATTGGGCCTGTGCTTTATATCAGCGTTAAACAGGACTTGTATGCTTTGACTCTGGAAATGCATTATGCTGATCTGCATTGACAAATAGAGAGGAAGGGGGTGGGAAAAAAAGAAAGGGAGAGAGAAATATGGGCCAGCGAGTCTTATCTAGGCCTCAGATTCGATACTCTGGTGGGACAGTCATGTGTTTCTGACTGCGGGCTGTTTGAGCTTTTTACTGAAGAAAAAAGTCTGTCAGATTTAAATGGTAACAAGACAGAAAGCACAAGTAACTCTGAGCTGTAAGAGAACAACAACAGACAGAATGGAGGAATAGATTGCAAGCTTTTGCCCTCAATGATGGACCCAGTCTCCAAAAAAATC